TGATATATGTCATATATTGTCATTGACGAATGCTTGGAAGATCAGAGGATCACTAGACAACCCGAAGGGCTAGACCAAATATTCAAAGTTCCCCCTGGGGGTATTGAAAGTGGTCTTCCACTCCCTGATGCGGACCAAATTATATGTGTTGAGAAGATCCAGCTTTGTGAAAAAGGAAGCCCCCTGCAACTTCCTGAAAGCAGAAGACATCAACAGCAAAGGATAAGTATTCTTTACCGTGATGCTGTTCAAACCCTGATAGACAATACAAGTGTGCAGGGTTCCATCTTTCTTTTCCACAAAGAAGAATCCCACACCTGCAGGAGAAGAAGAAGGGTGAATAAGTTTGGCTGCAAGAGAATCATAAATATATTTCTCCATGGCCTCCCTTTCTGGAGCAGAAAGTGAATATAACCTAACTTTAGGTGGAAACGCACCTGGCAACAAATCTATAGCATAGTCATAGGGACAATGCGGAAGAAGATAAGCAGCCCAAGACATACTGAACACTTCCTTCAGGTGTATGTACTCTTCAGGCACATTAGACAGGTCTACAGGTTAATCCTGCAACACAGAATAATATGTAGACAACAAACAAGAAGCATAACAATGATTACTCCAGGAACAAACAGAAGTCTGATGCCAGTTCATGTGAGGATTATGGAGAGTGAGCCAGTAATGTCCTAGGACTACTGGAGTGAGGGGATTCTATTAACAAGAATCTTCTGTATGGTTGCCCGAGGTGGTGAGAATCAACAGAGCAATAGAGTGGGTGATAAAAGGAAGGGCTGAGTGGGTGAGTGAGAGCACAGAGATCTTGAATAGATGAGCAAGACTGAAGTCCGTAAAATTACCTTCACCTCCAGAGTCCAAAAGCGCTCGACAGGTGTGGTTGGTGGTAGTCTATTGCAGCCTGACCGGGAGGAGATTGGCAGAGGAGGATTTTTCAAAACTCATACCACCCAACAGTAATGGGCTTGGGATTTTACTGGACAATTAGTTGTGATGTGACCAGCGAGTCCACAGTAAAGACACAGTCTTTTAGTCCTTTAGCGATCCTTCTCCTACTGGGATAACCAAGTTCTGCTCACCTGCATTTCTGAGTCAAAAGAAAACAAAAATAATGACTATTTGACAAATTGTTTAATAAAGTCGTTATTTGTTTTCTTTGCGTACAAAATGTATTCTCGTAGCTTCGTAATATTACGGTTAAACCCCTGATGTCACATGGATTATTTTACCGATCTCCTTGCTACGTCTCTGGACCTTGATCGTGGTAATTACATTGCTGTCTATGGGAGGGTCAAAGAGCTCTCAGAATTCATCAAAAATATCTTAATTTGTGTTCCGAAGATGAACGGGGGTCTTACGGATTTGGAACGACATAAGGGTAAGCAATTATTGACAGAATTTTCATTTTTGGGTGAACTATCCCTTCTAAGATTCTTATATAGAGAACATTTCATGGAACAACGAACCAATATTTATACTGTCACAAAAAAATAACACAGACACTGTCATACAGAGACAATGTCATGCAACAACAAATCTGGCCATTGTGACATGAAAAAACATGGTTCAACAATATTTATATGCTCTGTCTTTGTGCATTCCCTCGCAAAACTTTTGCGTTCTCTCGCAAAGATAGTTGTTCCCTCGAAAAACTTTTGCGTTCCCTCACAAAACTTTTGCGTTCTCTCGCAAAGATAGTTGTGTTCCCTCGAAAACATTTTGCATTCCCTCGCAAAGATATTTGCGTTCCCTTTTGCGTTCCCTCGTAAAGATATTTGCGTTCCCTTTTGCGTTCTCTCGCAAAGATATTTTGCGTTCCCTCGCAAAACTTTTGCGTTCTCTCACAAAGATATTTGCGTTCCCTTTTGCGTTCTCTCGCAAAGATATTTTGCGTTCCCTCGCAAAACTTTTGCGTTCTCTCACAAAAGATATTTGCGTTTTGCGAGGGAACGCAAAGTTTCTCGAGGGAATGCAAAAGTTTTGCGAGAGAACGCAAAAAATTTTTTTTCACTCAATCTGATTTTTTTCCACGACCATGTCCCTTTAGGGGCTCCGTACTGAAGCATTTATTAGTAAACTTTTGTCTGCTTTGTGAGAACATGAAAGCCTCAATACCTATTGTCATAATATTTTGTCTAGAAGGTGTGATGAAAGAAAGAAGATGAAAGAAAGATTCCTTTGAAGCAGGGTGAAGCCAGTTCGTGTGGGGGGGTGAGTGAGAGAGAGAGAAAGGGAGAGTTATACTATCAGATTGATGAAATGATATTGGATGCAGTTCAGGGTAGGATGAAATAGAAAACTTGTAATACTCCCAATAGTTTATATAAGTGTGTGTGTGTGTGTGTGTGTGTGTGTGTGTGTGTGTGTGTGT